TTAGTTGCAATTGCACCTATTGGAGTCTCTTGTTAATAAATGTCACTCCAAGATTGGTCAACATTCAATCCCTGTTTAGATTCAACTTTTCGTTTGCTTAAAACAAAGTGTTCGTTGATGTTCACTTTTTTCAGAACTTTTTTTGTTCCTTCTCAATGGTTACAAGATTAAATGATGTTCTCATGCGAATTCCTATCTCTAACCATTTTCACCTTTTCTTTCTCACCCAATTATTGGATAAACGTTTTGTTTTTCATCGAAACATTTGAAATTAAATATTCGACTGTACAATATTATCGTTGCAAACGAATGTCGAACACTTTAAAAGATAAACTTCGACTTGGAATCAATCATCTGTTGTTCATCCCATTCGAAGAGCCGTTCAACTGTGTGATTGATATCGAAGTTTCGAAATTTCTTTTCTCTCGAAAAAGCTTTACTCGAATTTCCAATTCATCGCTCAACCATTCCTCTGAAACCATTGGAAAAATGTAGCTCTTCGAGTTTCCAAAAATAGCGAACAAGAACTTTTAATGTTTAAATATTCCAGAAAAAATGCTGACACAGAATTGGTGAAACAATGAAAATTTCAATAATTTTGCCAATATTCATCTTTGGAATGAAAATTGAAATTTTGTTGATCATTTCAATAATTGCATTTGAATATTTTCTCAGTTTCATCTCTTCATTTCCATCTGATAAATACGAACTTAAAAGATGCAAATTACTGAAAAAAAAAGAATAATTTTTAATCTTAAATTCTGTTCTTTTCATGAATCATAATTTTCAAGGCAAATGTCGGTTCATTTGTTTTTCAATAAGCACTTGCTTCACATACAGAGAAGCACATGAAAATGCAAAGTCTTATTTAAACATTGACTTCAGATTATTCATCACTTGCCATGTTTTTGCAATAATCAGCTTACAAAGTCATAAGATATTCAGATGCTTTCCCAGCAAGCCTTGCACTGAGCCTTACGATAAAAAAATGAACAAATGAACATTGAAATTGTGAACCAAAACAAAACCGAGTAAAATTGAGGACAAAACATCTGTTTGGACCAAAAATTTTCACCTTTTCTCCGCCATCTATAAAGAATGTTTAACTTTCAAAAAGCACTCTGTAGCTGTTGAATGATACCTGGTAAAGCCTGAAATATGGTTACAGCATTTGGTGTTGAGGTAACCTTCAAGTAATGAGATTGGCAAGGGTAAAGATTGAACATAAAATGTTACTCACATTAATCTTGGCATGTTAATCTCATCAATGTTTACTTGCATCTTTAAAACTGTTTGATGGTCAAGTAATTAAAGCAATTTTTACATTCAATGTTGCCTTAGTTGCAACAGGGAATGCCAAAAAATGGTGAACATTTATTGATTGGATATTTGGGTTTGGGAATGAGGCAGAAAAAAAAGAGGAGAGAAAAGGTTGAAAAGGGAAGGAAAAAGGTTGATTTTTACTGTTGATAATGTTATTGATTTTAAACATGGTTCAAGCTGGAAAAAAACATGGTAAAGTCAATAATGCTTTTTGTATCAATAAAAGGTTTGTTTAAATGATATCAAGTCAGTTTGATTATCTTTAAGTCGACAATGAGATTTCAACAGCTCTCCATGTTAATCATTAACATGGTATAATGAATGTTCTGTACAATTGTTTGACTTTTACCAATAATATTAAACTTTGAATATTCATTTGTTCATGATAATGATGAGAAAAAAATGAGAGAAGAAAAAAGAAGATAAAAGTAATCATAATCATGGCCAAATGATTATAAAAGTACCTGAGGATAACAGGGAAGATTCAAGGGTTAACACTGAGAGGAAACAATTCAAGTGTATTATGAGACTGATAAAGATCGATTGTTATTGTAATGAATCGTACAATGATTATCTTGAAATTCATTTTTTCTTCTTTTTCTTTTTTTTCTCTTATTGTTGATATGCTCATGAGGCAACAACCAGGACTAATGAATGAATGAATGAATGATTATTGGTTTAGATGGATTATCATGCAATAGAATCATTGAAATGATTTTGCAACGGTGTTTATGTTGAAGAAACGAATGGAAAAAAGGTTTTTTTTCTCAATGATGATGATTATGGATGATCAGGATGATCAGGGAAGAGTGAAAATGGCGAGATGATGATATATCAATATATCAATAGAATCAACATTTTAACTACTTTTTTTATTCTGGTTCTGGTGCACTGGGAGTAGCAAATCCCATGTCAATATATTAATATTCAACACGGAAACTTTCAACTAACCATCAAGATCGAGGTAACTTGAGAGACATTAAGATGATAAAGATGAACATTTTGTCCAATTAATTCATGATACAAAAGACAATTTTTACTCATTTTTTTCCTTCTTCTTCTCATCATTACTTATAATCTTCTTAAGCTCTTTCAGTCTCGACACTTTTTACAGACTTTCTGTGAATAATGAATTGACGCAAGTTTAATAACAATAATTATCTGCTAATATAATTAATACTTGGAATCAACTTTTTTCCCTCTTTTCTTTGCTTCCAATTTTCTCATCAAAATCTCATGTTCAACTCATTGTAACATCATGTTTTCAATGTTATTTAATTAATCTTTAACTTATTGTTGCAAGCAACATTTCAGATTAGTTTTTTCTCTCATGCAAATTGACTTTCACTTTGGAGTTGCTTCAGATAAAACTGAAACTGCTTTACATGTTCATCATTTACCTGGAATATCGAGAAATTTTCTTCTAATCCATTCTGAGAGTTTCAGATAATCATTTTTTCCATTTCAACTGAATATTGAACTGAAAACTGCGTGTTGCTCTGAATCATTAATAGAGAAACTTGTGAATCTAAAATGATATTTTTGCTAACAACACTTTGAATTAAATGACTGATAACGGAATCATTGAGAGAAAATTGTTTTTTCAAGAAATGTTCTCAAATTTTGCATTGAATATTCAGAGAAATTCTAGCATGGAAAAGGTTCAACTCGTAAATATAATCTTCGAGAAATGGTAAATTTGGTTCATTGTAAACATGATTTTTTCAGTTAATTTCAACAGTTTTAGTGTTGGAACTTCACTTTGGAAGATTTTTGAGTCTGGATTTTTTTTTCATTTTTTTGTTCTTTAAATTCTTCCACCTCTTTCACAGTCAACCTGAATTGATTAACAAAAAGAAATGAACAAAAAATTCTGTTAACAAATTGACTAACATAATGTGCTTATAAAGTTGAAAGATCAGTGAAAGGAAAGGAAAGGTTGAAAGCGATGAAAAACTGTGAGCAACTGATCACAGTTTGTGAGATAAAATCAATGAGAAAAGGTTGATGAAACATTCAAAGTATTCAGTTTAAAGTTTCAAAGGAATACATGATATCACAATCTTGAATAACGTTCTGATGCACTTGAATAGACTTCAAGACTCAAGTGGTTTACACTTGTATCAACATATAGCTTTTTAAATGAAACAAAATTGAAACACTGACATTCCCTGTCAATGTGATGACCACCAAGTCATGGAAATGAACTTTTCCAATGTTGATGTTTTGGGTTCTCATTTGAAAATATACTTTTCACTTTACGATAATGATGAGGAAGAAAGGAAATCTGAAAGGCAAATAAGGCTAATGAACAGAGCAACAGTTGTACATAATGTAATATTATTTTGAAAGGGTTAACGGTTGACTGGTGAAAGTGAATCAAGGAATCATGATAATGATGAGGATGGAATGAACAAGCAAAATTATTTAGTCGAAAAGAGAAAAAAAAGAAGAAAAATATTCTTCCAAATTGCTACCAAAAACTTGAGATGAATAGTTTTCCTTCCTTTGGATTCATCAACAATCATCTGTTCTCATCAGCAACTCTTCATCTCATGGGCTGCTTTTCACTTGAGAAGTGAATTAGTTCAGTTATTACATGTTATTAAATGGTGCAACAACCATGAAAATACCTTGGTGGAATATGTTAACATGAAAATGTTTGGAGAAACATTGAAAAGTGAAACAAAAAAAGTCAGTAAAAGTGTAAACTAAACATCAACGTTTACTTCAACAGTGAACTTGATTCTTGAACATTTACTGTTCATCATTTTAATTGCAATTGAAATGAAAAGTCAAGCAAAGGTTAGATGATGGAAAAGATGAATTTAAATGCATGACATTTTAATCGACTTGAGAATTGAATTATTTAAGGAAATCATGAAACTCTTGCAACTGTTTGAACAGGTTTACTTTTCCCATTGATTGCAATTTAACTTTCTTGCACATTTTAAATGGTTATTTCGTTATTTATTATTATTATCATTGCTATTATAACCTTTTTATATTTTCATTATTATTGTTATCATTTAAAGATGAATAGATTGACTGATGCATGGAAAAGGTCTATTAAATTGAATTGTGAATCAATCTGAATCAAATTTTGCTGAGTGAAAATTCATTTCCATTTTCTGCTCTTCTCTTCATTTTCTCATCATTTTTTTCCCATTCAACTGAACACTGAACATTTCAAGTAAATCTCTTTGAATTATTTTCCATATTTCACATTCACAATTTCAATCTCAACATGATTAAAAGTAAAGACTAAAGATTTGGATTGAATTGAAAAAGATGATAAAAAAAGGCATTCTTGTTGCTCTTTTTTTGCTGTTCATTTTGTCATTGATATTACATTATTATTACATTGGCTTGGGAGTTGAGAGTAACTTTGACTTTAGATTTAAAATTTTTATTAAATCGACATTTCTCTTGGATAATGCTCTCAGTTGAAATGCAATTTTGTTTGTAATATTGAAATATTAACACAAATGACACAAAAGCATCATTAAAGGTAAATTTGATTTAAAATGAAATGGCAAAAGATTGTAAGTAAATAATTCTTTGCATCAAAAACTTGATGCTTTTCAGCTTGACTACACTTTAATCATTTGTTTGTGGAAAAGGTCAACTAATCTGATTGCTTAGTGATTAGTGTTTAGTAATTAGATTGTACTTACGACTTTCACCTCTTTGAGGTGTTCCTTTGGCTTTATCATTTTTTGGTGGCATATTTTGTCGGATATGATTTGCTTGTTTGGAGGAAGGATCCGCTGAGGTCACTTTTGTTTCGTGTTTTTTTGTCACAATAAGTTTGTTGAGTAATTAGCGATAATTGGTATTATCCAGGAAAAAAATGTTTTGCTTTTGAGATTATTTGGTTTAACCAATTGATGTAAATCTGTTTTGATTGTTGTTGGTTAAATTGAAAAGTGAATAGTCAATATGGAAATGGATCGACATTGTGTTCATCATTACGGTTAAAGTGTATTACATTGAAGATGTTGTTGCATTGAAACACTTTACTCGAAGAGGTAATAAACTAGTTGCATGTAAATAACATTGCTTTCTGTTGTAACTAACCAGTAGAGACATCATGGTTTCATTTTGCAAATAACTTCAGGGAAACCATTGTAATCATCTTTCAGTACATTACTTGCAACTTCGAACTCGATGTTGATAAACTGAATCGTTGGTCGAAATTCTTTAGTCACTTTATTTTCTGCCTGAGGGCGACACTTGTTGGACTTTTTGTATTTCAATCTTTTCTAGACTGGTTTCGCTCTCTGGTGTACTAATTTAAAACCATTTTTGTTGTAATTGAAAAATTGTTTGTTAATTTCAACTTTTTGATTCCTTTGCTCTAGTTCAGATTATCTTTTTTGGTGGTTTTTTGAGTATCCAGAAGCAACTTAGAATCATGTTTTTCAGTATGTTTTAGCTTTTAATTAAACGACCATTTTCACAATAACTTTTGACAAATTTTTCATTCATCTCAATTGGTTTCTAAATGTTTTTCCATACTTATTATTTTTAAACCGATGGTTTACACTAAAGAGCTCTTGATTTTCATAAGCCATTGGGCTTTTCAGAATTAACTGTCTTTTAAAGTTTTTGCCACATTTTTTGATCCATTAACCATCCTATTCCATTGAACTGGATACAATATAAATCGACTTCTTTGCTAGGTCTAAACGTAAAACCATGAACAGTAATGTAACTGGTTCCAAGAAACAGGAAAATCAAGCGAATTAAAGTTGATTATCGATTAGAAATTGTCTAAGTTGATTCTCTTTTGATCTGAAACCAAATGTGAAATAAATATTGTATCCTTCAAGAGCTAATGTATTTTAATTACCTTCAAATGTCTGATAAATTTGCTCTCGATGGGTGCTGGGAAAATCTGAATAAATGGAAAATGAAAAATCGATTAAAAGTGTATTTCAAATCAGTCAATTTTCTAATTGATTATTTTTTAAAAATGTTACATTTTGCGAGCTCATCCTTTCACTTGTTCATTTCATTGCAATGTAATCATCTGATTGTTCAGTTCCAACATGAAAATTTATACCTTGAAACCAGACTTTTTTAAACGACGCAATTTGCATCGAAATGTTGACCGGCAAAAGCAACCAGCTTACTCGAATGATCGTTCGAGATTCATGATATTTCGTTTATCTCAATTCTTCACTTATTTTGGATTAATATCCTCATTAATAATTGTGATATCCAATTACATTGCATTTAGAGTGACTACCAAAGTTGACATAAGGACCTACAAAAAAGCTACTTTGCCATCCATTTCAGTATGTTTCTTTTACGATATTGATCCTAAATATGGACCAACTATACAAGAATCAGCAGATCATTATCACGCCACTCGATTAACAGTGAAACAAATCAATGATCTACTACCAACGTGGGACCAATTTGTGCCTTCTTGCTTGATTGTTGTACCAGGATTCCACAAACCCGTTTCCTGTACGCATCTTGATCCCAATATTTCTGAATATTTGAACTTATATTCAAAATGCTTTCGCATCTTCGATTCATCATTCAACAAACTGAAATACCAAAATTACCATCACTGGGGCAACCAGCTGGTTGAAATAACGATCAATAAATCAGTCTTGACAACATCCAAGATTGGTGTGTTTCTCAATAATCCGACTTCGGGTCTTGAAAATGCAATGGGAAATCCAAGTTTCATCCAATTCGACACATCAGAGAATAACCAGGCATCAATCACTTTTAAAAGGATAAAAATCAAATCAAAACCTTATCCTTATGTAACTGATTGCTTCGATTATACTCAATTAGATTGTAAACAGCGTATAAGGTGTATCCACAGCTGTGTTGGAGAGTTGCATCTTGCCGTCAAAAATGAATGGAGTTATCGTCGTTACATCAAATTAATACCACAGCATTATAATGCACGTTTCTCTGATCGTCCTGAACTCTCGTTCTTGTCAACCTATTGTTTCAATAAATATCCACAGCAGCCTTGTACCCAAATGTTTTATCTACCAGAGTTGGGGACACAAATCAATTCACCCTTTAAGGAAAACGGATCTTACCATATTTTGATAAATTATCCACATGGAACAGAGAAGATAATTAAATACTTTCCTGGCGAGTCTTTTGTAAATTTCCTCGTCCACTTGACATCAGTTATCGGCATTTGGATATTTTTACCCACGATTAGAGCGTTAAATATATTATTTTACTGGACTTTTAAAGCTTTTAATTTCCATCAAAATGTGAAAAAGAAACTAAAATTATCACATTCGTCTTTGAAAAATGGTTGGTTAAGTCACAAGAGTCATCCAATAAGGACAAGAAATCAGCTGTCACACGCTAAAAAAATGTCAACACGCAATGCTGCAAGAATAGCTTGGTAAAGGAAGAGTAAAACAGATCAAATTTCTCAATCGAAGAACGAAAGTTTAAGTTGATTGAACACCCGTCGCAATCGCATGACCAAACGACAAGTGACTATCACCTGTGAATTAGTAAAAGGTTAAAGTCAATCAATAAGCTTAGAGCTGAAGTGCGCGGCTGTTTCAATGAGAAGCCAGCTTGATGTTACGCCGAAGGAGCATCTCGATTAATTGCTAAAGGTAGCGAGTAATCGATAGCAATGATGCCTGGTCCAAACTTGGTCCATCCATAAATAATTAGGAACATGTCCGTCATATAGACTTTTATCAAGCCTTAATCTAAAATAATTAATGTTAATTGTAAATATAAACTGTCAATAAATTGTCACTCAACTATCCTTGTAAATTAATGTAACATTCAGACGATCAAATTAAAGTTGAAAATGACATGAAATATCTTGGTAAATATAAAAGATTTTGACGAAAAGTTAATCATTTGGTAATTGCGTTATCATTAAACCTTTTCACTGATCAATTCATGAACATTTAAGTAATTTGTTGAATATTGAAGAGCAAATTATCGGATAAACCTATTAATTAGCATGAAAAAGGCAAAGTCAATAGCAAAATATCCAATAATTAGCAAGTTAAACTGTTAAGGTTAACATTTCAATTGAACCGGAATTAAATGTTACCAAACTTTCATGTGATAATCAGTAAAAAATGATTATAATAGTCATGATATTCATAATAAATTATCACAGTTTAGTTAATAATCAATTCCTATTAACCTGTTGATTTCATTTTAATTATAATAATTGACTTAATTGAGTTTCACTGTAACAGCAAAATCTCTAAAAGAGTGACTCTAATTGTTGCAATCAACATTGACTAAGAAATCAATTAAACAAAATTAATTTCTTGAAGAGAAATAAGAAAATCGAGAATGAAAAATGTTCAAAATCGAAATGAAAATGATCCAAGTTTATGTCCAATTGATTGATGGCTTGAGTTTAAACGATTAAATTGTTGTAACAATGAATTGTAACAAAAATGGAAAAATTGATTAACCAATTTCAATTAAAGAATATCGAACATTAATAATTGTGATTAAGAATTAAAGATTAAAATGTAAATAAATTGTGATGTGAATATTAGATTTAGCTTTCCGGTAAATAGATTATCAATTGTTTCCGCTAAATTGTCACACCAATTGTTAACTAACAACAACCATTTCAGTGATTACAACAAATGATAATAAGAGCAATTAAAGTAACATCAACGTGAAAAAAAGAAAGTTTAACAATAATAATCAAGAAATGATTAGTAAATTGCAATAAACAAATTAAAAAAAAGTGTACATTTTTAATTTTTACAATTCACTTCACACTTGTTAACTTGTTCATTGTTAATCACTCCTAGTCACAGTTATATAAGTTTTGCAAATCAAATTTAAAGTTAATTACATTTCATTTCATGTTTGTTGGTTAACAAATTACACCAATAATTTAGCATATTTTTAATTGTTCAATATGAACTTATTTCATTCTCATTTCAAATGTCACAATCACGTAAATGGGTTTCAATTGTGGTCAAATGGTTGAATGGTAAAATATTGATATCAAAATGATGATCATCTTTTTTCTGGTTAACACTTAAATTGCTGATTCCAATAAGGAATTGAACATTACATTTGATACATTTTGCTTTATTGCTTCTAAGTTTATTGATATTAAACTCTCAACACTTAAAAATTTATTGATTTCAATTGAATTGTTGGTTAACATAGCGTCAAGGTTTTTATTGGAATGCATCATTTTAACCTGTAAATTGCTACTATTAAGATATCAAAGGAAATATATTGATTTAAAAATGGCAAAATTAAGATTAATTTCATAAATTTCTTCAAAATTTAATATAATTTGTTAAGATTAAAGCTTTAAATAAATGGTAATCAAATTTGGCGGTTTCATTGGGTCATTGGTTGTCAATGTAAAGTGTGCATCAGCTGTTAAATTGTTGAAATTTCTGGTAAACATTTACTTCGTTAATTTGTTTATTTGTTCATTTGTGTAATTATTTTTTCTTTTTTACTGTAATTTTATTAAAGATGGGACAGTTGAAGCCTGGCTAATTGCAGTTTACTTGGTTTATCAAGCAATGATAAATTGTGGACAACTGGACAGTTCCGATTGTAAAAGCAAATATTGAGCAAAGTTGGTTCTCTTCCTATCTTGTGTTTATGTGTGTTTTACTGTCCATGTTAAACATCATCAATCATATTTAGTTTGATCATTTAACCGATTTGTTTTTTTTAATCTATTTTTCCAGGTTATTAAGATAACCAAGTAACCGGGTTTGACCATGTTTTAACTTGAATTGTAAAGTTACCGAGGTAAGGTAACCTTTGACCAAGATCAAGATGCGTTGAACAAGGTAAGTGTTATGTAAAATTGAACATGCTGTTGTTGTGTAAATTAAATGTTGATTATTAAGTTAACTGATGTATTAGTTGTTGTTGTTTTAAATTATCAGTCAATGCTTATGTCAACTAACTACCGGGCCCAATTTTGCTTGGTTAAGCACGACAATTTACCTCAGTATCAAGTTCCTGCTACAATTAACCCAATCTTTAACAATTCACTTTCTTTTACTTCTCTTTTTACTCAGTTCCCTCCTTATTGCTCAGCCTCTTCTTTCCTCTTCTAACTAACTCTAGAGTTTCTACCATCGAATTATATCAAATTATGAATTTTTGTGTGTTTACCAATCAGAATTTGGCCAACTTTAGTTGACTATAAAAGCTGATTTCATTGTTGTAAATTTATCAACTTGCTTACCAGTCTTCAAACAAACAACAACAAAACAGTCAACTCTTTAGTTGTGATTCATTCATTTTTCATTTAACCAAAAAAACAAACACTAATTCTCTTCTAATCATGTCTCCAAAAGTTATTGTTTTCGCCATAATTGTCTGCCTTTGGTGCCTTATGGATTTAAGTTATGCTGGTGACAAAGGAGGATCCAACATTGTGCTCCAGGATAAACACTCTCAAATTATTTTGAACTCTGGTGGTAAAAAGGGCGGTGAAAACATCATCATCAAGGATAACAAATGCTGCGGACACAAGCAACATGTTAAATATGTCTACATACCTGTCTACACTCACCATGCTGAACACCATGGCTGGGGTCACGAACAACAACACTGGGGAGGTTGGCATAAGTGAAGGGTCACTGACTGATTAGCCCAACTGTCATTCAGTAACTCTAGAAACAACCAAATTGTCAATTCGCCAATCCATTTCTACCTTATTCATCATCATCCTGCCCAAAGGACCCTCTAAATTCATTTATCCAGCCACAATGTATCGATCAATTGATGGAAAGTTCTTTTTTGCTTCATATTTCATTTTTTCTCAAAATAATTCTCACTCATTTAATTGTTAATCAGTTGATCTGAAAAATGATTAAATGTAGCCTTGTATAGATGAAAAGAAAACTTACTTTCAACTCTGTCATTGATATGATACAATAAATTGAATAATTATTTATGAAACAAAATTCACTTTTCCAATCATTTCTTTTATAATTTTTATCACCAGAAAAATTAACGAAAAATTTAACCTAACTAAAGTTAAATATTGAGAAAAGTTTACTTCGCAAGATTTTATGAAAAAATGTTTCCGTTTGATTGTTAATAATTTGCTATGTAACATTCATAATCAATAATATTGCATTGTATGTTTTTATTAATTCACTAATACACTAACCCACGAAAATACTTGAGTTAATTTTACAAAATGGTTTGATAAGCGCTAGTAGCTCAACCATCCTTCATTAGAACAGCAATTGGAATGATATTCATCGCCTAATTATAGTTTGAGTTTGATAGAGTCTTTTAACCAGGGATAAAAATTGATTATTTAATTCTTCAGTTTTTGTTGAACTGTTGAACTGTTGCTATTTGTAATTTAACAATGTTTTTAATTTACGATCGGCCAGAGACAATTATTGACGAGTAATTTCTAATATCATTTCCCATCATCAAATGAGTGAAGCTAAATGGCAAGGCCACAAAATGGCAAACCAAACAGTACTGATCAAGATCAATCGATTATCAATTTTGCCTCTAATTATTGCGATCCTCCAGGCTATCGATTGAGCTGTTTCACTTGATTAAAGAATAGAATAGCGTGATAATTAGTAAGAAAGAAATTCCAACTAATTGGTATTCACTAATTAGACTAGGGATCACTCCTGATAATGACAATAAGACAATTGTTTTTCAGGATAAGCTTCAAGTAATTTTGAAATAGTGTTTCTCAAATTGTAAGTTGAATAATCAATACAAACAAAAGTGACAAAACCGAAAGATCAATCATTGACTTAATTTTGACAATATAATGAATAATTAGCTTAATTATTCCGGTCAATTGACAAGCAGATTCAATGCTCAAATGGTGAAATTATTATAACAAAAATTTAGGAGAAAAGGTGAATTTATATGTTAATATAATAATACAAAATATTGTACATACAAAAATCGTGTTGATTTAATGAGACTCTTTTACTTACGACGAAATAATTACAACAATTTAAATTTTGTTTGTTTTCTGGATTCCATGACTCGATCTAATAGACTAATGAACGTACGAGGACAGTCTGGATCGCGCTTACTCATATAATTAAAGTCAATTAGTTCACGAACACGCTGCTTTACATAGTCAATATTTCTATCTTGAAGACAAGATATTGGAATAATATCTTGATATTTGATTAATCTACGAGGTAAAATTGATTTATCTAAATCACATTCATCAGGTTGTAAATAAATTTTCTTTAAGTCTACCATAAACTCTTCGAAAGCAACATCAGCTCCAGGTAAATCCATCTTGTTTACGACAATTAAGACTGGTTTAGATAAAAATCTATCATCGTAAATTTCAATTTGTTTGTTGAGTAAAAGTACCGTTTCGATTGGTTTGCGAAATATTCCTCGATTGAATCCATGAACATCAATAACAAAAAGAATCAATTGATTATGATATAAATGTTTCAGATAATGGTGACCAAGACCATCATTGCAATGAGCTCCTTCTACAAGACTAGGTAAATCAACACAGCTTATAAGTCTTCCATCTTTGAATTTAATATCATCCAACCAAGGCCTTTTACTTTTATACGATTTTTCTGGTGATCCGATGAGATATTGATCAGATGTCGATAGTTTGGTTAGTAAAAGAGATTTTCCAGAATCTGGATAACCGACAAGACCTTTAATAAAGCAAATTGATATTTAAGAAAGTGTTTGATCGTTTTCATAAAGGAAAGTTATTGAGTATGATAAGATATAAAATGGGTTTGATTATTCGATTAAAATTACCTATGTCAACGCAGTATCTTAAATCCAAAGTTATCCATTGTGATTGTCCTTTACCTCCGAAAAAATTGTTCCTTACGCTTCCACCTTGTCCTCCATGAGCAACAATTTTGGAGTCACCATTCTTGACTAAATCCCCAATTGGACTCATAAACTCATTGAATAATGTGACCCCGCATGGAACTTTAATTGTCAAATCAATGCCATCGGGTGCAACCAGTCTGGACTTTCGTCCATCCAGTCCATGACCAGCTAAAGCTTTAAGATCAGGAAAATTTGATTTAATATATGAAAGATCATCAATCTCGTCTGAAGCTGTAACAATTACATTTCCTCCAGAACCACCGATGGCCTTTGACACTGGACATCCATTACCTCCTGAACCACCAATAACTTTTAATCTAAGTGAATCACAATAGTCTAATAAATCGCTTTTCAATTTAGACTTAATGACATTGGCCTTCCTTTTAAATCCAGACACATTTTCTAAGGTTAATTTTTGGGTGGAATCAGTGAAGGTAGCATAACTCCTAACATTTAGGATGATTCCTCGAAATGCAACTTTAGTTATTAACATTTTCTACAATGAAAAAAAATCAAAACATTAATCAAAGTTTGAAGTTAATTTTGCGGGTTAAACAAATACAAGAAATTACGACAAAGCAAAATCTTAGAAAAAACTTACAATTAACAGTTTATAAACACAACAGTCGACATAATATTAAATTACAATTTCAAGAGTAATCAACTTATAGTTTTCTAGTTGATTAAATGGCAAATCAACAATTTATTAAACAGTATAACATTTTTTTCACATGTAAACAAATAACAACGCTTGTAGCAAGAGCAAAGAGTAAATTGCAGAATTAAGAAGCGGGTTTTTCAAACTTTATTATTTTCACGTCGTTGTTAATTCCACTCAAACAAATAATTAGTGATTTACGTCGCATGAAACCTTATGGACGAAGGTTTTACGAAGTATCAACAACCAAAAAATAACAATTGAACCATTATCGAGCTTTGAACTTTAGTTAAAAAAATTACTTGTGAAATAAGTTTAAAAAAACCGCTCCTTTAATCTGTAATTTACTGCTTGTGCCGCAAGACCGCAGTAGCTCTCTGTAGTGTAAATGATTTGTATTACAGGATTTGTTGTTGTTTTGCAGTGATACAAATTTACAACCTAATCAACTAATTGTTTGATTATTCCTGAAATTATTATTTAATTATCACATTATTTGCTTTGTGAAGTGTGTTTTAATTTGTTAAAGGTAAGTCTTTTTCCTGGTTTCATCTAGATTTTTAAATGAATTAATTTAAATGCATGTCCGACCTTGTCGTCCGATGTTCAACCTTGATTAATGTTTTGATTTTTTGCCCTTTGTAGAAAATGTCTCTTTCAAGAATCATCTTTCGAGGAACTGCCATCAATGCTAGAGGTCTTGCCACTGCCACGGATTCTATTCAGAAATTGTTTTTGGATAAGATTTCTGAATTTAAAAAGAAGGGTGATTTCATTGAGTCTGATGCCCAAGCAAATGCGCTAATGAAAGCCGAAATGGAAAGAATCGCAAATCAGTTTGGTGTAAAGAAAGATGAGGAGGACAAGATTACTTTCAAAAGCCAAGAAGGATTCAAGCTTGAGGAACCAATCAAGATTCAATATGACAATTAAATAGTGAATTACATCTCTTAAATAAATAGGTTGTACAAAACCAATAGAAATTTAATGAACTTTAAAATAAAGCAAGAACGAATCATTGATACCATGTAATTCGTTTTAACTTAAAAAAACCTCCTTAAGGCTCTTTTTTAATCTTTCTGGTGGACTGTGCAACTCAGGTAAAAAATAAAGAAGACAAGTGAGTAAAGAAAAGAAGAGAGTTGAAGGAAGATACTTTATTTTACAAGAATTTGGCCAAAAATCGTGAGACTTGTTAAAAAAGGAAATGAGCGGTTATGTCATTGAGAAACAAAAGAAAGAGATTCACGAGCTCAAACTGGATATGGAAGAAATGAAACATGAAATTAGTTAAAATACTGTGATGACCACTGACAGCAATCAAGTAAAATTAATACTCCTCCATATTTTAGCAAATATCGTACAGAGCAACTTGCTGATGATGAAAGTGAGACGATAAAAAAAAGGACAAGAGACGGCAAAGTTAAAGACGGCTTCAATGGTGGATTAGGAAGAACGAAATAAACTGAGAGGAAAAAAAATTGATGTTAGCAATGATGATAATGATGATGATGATGATGAATATTATTATTATTAGTAAGAAACATGACTATGTTAGTTTGGCAAATTAGAGGTAAAAGTGATTGTTAAAAACTGATAAAGCTCGGCTCTTGATGAGATCGTGACTGGTTATCCAGACGCTTAAAGATGATGGTGAGGGTAATGTGTAAGGTACGAGAAAATATGATGATGAAGCTTCAACAGACGCCCCCGAATCATGGTTACCTTTTTTCTGTTTACAGAATTCAGGGTGTGCCTCGACCTCCCCCTCTACCTCGGTAACCTTTTAAGCCTCCTCCTCCTCCTCCTCTTGACCATCATCTTACATCTACTTCTTATTCCCAATAAATATCAACATAATCATTTCCCACGGCAACAAATGAAAATGCACACAGAGTCGCTTTACATTCTCGCCATCTTCATCATGACTTTCACTCATCTCACTCTCTCATCATTATCATCTTCGTCTTCTTTTTTTCCTCTTCTATCACTTTACCTGCCAACTTTGAGACTTAAACTTGAACATTTTGTTCTTTTTTCCAGGCGAATTATATTCTCATAGTTCACCTTATCAAAAACCTTTACTTTTTTCAATGTTACTGTTTAATTTGCAAAGAAATACAAATTGTACGTTTAATTTTATCCTTTGAATCTGTTGATTTTTGTTTAATGTTTCATCATTGTTACCTGATAATTAGTTCTTTACCTTTTGTGTTCAATGATATTAAGATTAATTATTATAGTACCTGTTGATTTGGTCTGATTAACCGTTTCCATGAATCTTTTTGGATGATTACCTACAAAAGCCTCTGTTTAACCTCTTTTTTACTAGTTACATTCACTTTCATCAAAATCTTGGCAAGTGAAACCATCAATGTACATTTATCAAATGATACATCAATATCATCTTCAGAACCATCATCGACTGACCATTCTTCATCATTTACACCTTTTAATAGTAATGTTAATCAAATTGTTAGAGGATATCCATGTGTTAAGAAAAGTAATCAACTTTATTGTGGTTCACCCGGTCAAATTTATCCAAGGTAATTAATTTCGTTTATCAAAATTGTATTTTCATGCGATATTGTTATGATATATTCAAGCTTCCATATTGTTACTTCAATTGAAAATAACATCAAAATTTAACTGTTTTGCAGGAAAAACATTGAAAATTACATAGAGGAAAATAAAGCTTTGATAAAACGAATGTTTGGAGAAAATTTATCACAGTTATTTGATGGACAAATTGATGATCATTTAAATTTGGATAATCAAGCTGATAAAAAGAGTAAAGTTCGAGTTCCAAGATCTAGTTATGAAGAATTCAATGATAACAGGTAAGTCCAAAATGATTCCAAAACTTTGCCCGATTTCAGAATCTAAGCTCTTTTTAAAATGTCTAAATATTTAGGATAAATATTTTCTGAAAACTAATTAATCGTAATTGCTTTAACAAGGCTTATGAGACTTTGAACAATTATTTGTTGTACCTTTCAATGGATGAAGATGAAAATAGGCACAAATAATCTGAAGAGGAATGAGAAAAATGGATAAAAGTATCTTTCTGTCTTTAACTTTGTTGTAAGTCATCATAATTATCTTTTGCTAGCGAGTTTTAGAATGGACTTTCTTTTCATATTGCTCTTGTGGTCAGCCTGGAGATCACGTTTTCTTCTCTTTCTCTCTTGATTATTATAGAAACCTATTACAGGTTAAAATGAAGATGTAGGAGAGAGTGAGGGTTAGTAAGAGAAGTCAAACGATGAACAAAATGAAAAGCAGGTAAAAATGTAAGACAAGATTTTGACTGAACACTTAACAAGAGTTTGAATCGGCCTGGAAAATAATTCAATAGCACTACAATGGGATAACCGCAAATAATGTTATTTCTTTGAGACTCCTTTTGTTGTTTCCTTGTAGAAGCACTGTGCTTATTAAATTTTGTCAATAATAACGCAGAATAATGCCAATTATTTTCCAATATTTCACGTATTTGGTTACCTGCACATAAAGAGATTGGTAGAAAAATATTGTATAAGTTGACCTGAATGAGACAGATATGATTATCTAGATTCAGACAATTTGACTGAACAAAGCTGACTAGGATAGATATGTAGCTATTAAACTTTAACTAAACCATTTTATTTACCAGCAATTGTATAGTTGATGATTGCATGGGCAGACTCTATAAGCAATCAATTGATGATAACAATTTAACCAACTATATTTTCTCATCCATTGTATTTTGTCCAGAATTGATTCGTGTGAATCCAATGTTGAAATTGTAACTCCTTATTGGGCAGCCAATTCAGCAGGTAAAATCCGAGCTGTGGTCAATACTCAGCATTTACAACAGGCGATACAACAAGAAGTTTGCCGGTGAGTATAAATTTGCATGACTCCAAATTGAATTCACATCAACAAATGAAATATCCACAATTTACTTATTGATTTCCTTTTTTTACAGCACATCACAAACCAGTAGATGTAATAAAGATTGCACTTGTGAACAAAAATATAAATGGCATCGTTTACTCGCTTATGATCCAGATGATGATTGCAAAGGAATTTTCATGGATTGGTTTTTATTTCCATCTTGCTGTGTTTGTCGGTGTTTAAAGATCTTTAAACAATAACAAATTTTGGACTAAAATAAATGGTCATCTGTGAGAAAGAAAACAAAAAATAAAAATTAATGGACACTGCGGACACAAAAATGCTTATTTATAAAACATCAACATGACAACAAATTGAAAATTTTCACATGTAAAAAAATTACTGCCATCTATTGTAAAAACACTTTCATATTTTTATAATTGTAATTACTCAATTTTGTATTCCATATTATTTAAATATGTGATTTGTAATTAAATATCTCAATCACTAGTTGAAAGAGACAAAATTTATTTCTAATTGAGTCAAATTATTTCAAGTTATACTTTAGAGCCTTAAAAATTAAAGATTTTTTGCAGCGAAATTAGAATCACCGAAATTGAAAATTTGAATTCTCAGAAAACAATCTTAAATTCAGAATAATTAAGTTTAATTTTTGATTAAATTGAATTGTAAATTGAGAAAAGTGAATTGGAAAGACTTAATTCAGTCTAAATAAAATTGAAACCTTTGAAAGAAAGCAGATTTGGATTTAACTTGAGCTTTTAATGCAAAATATTAATAATAAGAAACTGATGTTAGACACTGATGTATTGTAATAGATCGCTGAGTAAAGGCTGAAGTATACACAACGAAATTGGCAATCAGATGAACTAAAATTAATTTTCAAAGAGAAAAGAGTTTAAACAATTAGCTAATCAAATGAATGAAGTTTTCTAGTGGAGACAATTAGTGTGTAGTTTTTTAGATTCAGAGAGATTAATCAATGTTTTTTTCTGTTTCAATTTTTTTCCATGGAATCATCCATGGAATTTATCCCTTCATTTCCATAAAGAAATGAAGACTTAAATTTTAAGTATTCAATTAGCTTTTCAAATTCAGAAGAAGCTCTTCAGGATAGTCAATTGATAACGGCAAAGTTTCAGTTTCTAAAGTTTCAAAGTTTTTCCCAAAAAACTGTGAGAATTAGAAACTGTGCTGCCATCTAGCGTCATGTAAGAATAAAAAAATAATGAAGACAATCACTGATTATTTTAGCACGATCAATAAGTTCTGTCCTTTGTTTGATCATTAATTTATCATGGAATGGTTGATTCAAACTGAATGATGAACTCAAAATAAAATGAATCTTTATAAAAGTATATCCTAAATTACACTAGTCGACTGACTTTAAATCGTAAATGCAACTAAACATATTGATACTTCAAATTGATTTGATTTGAATAAACAGAATTGGAATATAAATCAGATGCAAACTTGAAACTATGAAATAGATTTAAGTTAGTTTTCTCTCTTTTCCTTTTTAGTTAGAGTTAAAGCCAAAGGCGTTAAGTTAACATGTAATTGTACTTAAATTGGATATATGAATGCTTGACAAAATTTCAATCAGAAAGTAAATTGACATAACACTGAACAACAAAGTTGACAACATGACGAAAAATAAGCCAGATTATGCTAAATCAATAACAATACTAGAAAAAAAACTCAGATCCTAAAAAGTGATCAAAAAAGGTTAAGTAAAACGTTTACAAACCCACATAATTGAAGAAACTGTCAAATAATCAAATTGGCAATTTCACAATTCTTGATATAACAAAAAAATAAAAGTGTCCATTTGTCACGAAGCAAAAAGACAGCGAATCGAGAAGCCCAAACAAAACGGTGATGTAAGGAGAAAGCAGTCAATCAGCATTGAACTAAATGTAGAATGATTACTATCTAATCAACAGAAAAGATCAGCATAATATGGTACCGCAGCTCCAAATTGAATCTGAATATGAAAGTAAAATAGAGAAAAGAAATAGTTAAATTGGCCAAATAAATAGATTTTATCATTTACCACAATCTAGAGTTTTACTCCTTGCCTAATCTTTACCAACCTTATTTCACCATCAAACGATAGTCAGATATTACCTGTTTCCATGTGAAATAGTAAAAAATATATAAAAATACATTGTTAGACAGATAGTAGAACATATTAAGACTCACAGGGAAAGAGGAGAAAAATGGAAATAATTGAATAATATAACGACAAGAAGGGGCAAAATGTAGACAGGTTAAGTTACCTTTGAAAAATAGTACAATAATGGATAACAATGGTAACCAGATAATGAAGACGATCCCTTCAGTCCCTTGAGAATGTAATTCAAGTCCGTTAATATGGAGGAAAGCAGCAAATCAAATAATAAAGACCAGATCATTATCTAATCATTCGGTTTACCGTTGAAAAACAAATAAAAAAAGTACAATGCTGAATTTGACTGAACAATGTTAAGATGACAAAATGAGTTACATTAACAATAAGAAAGCTAAAATTGGCGCCTTCAAGATTAAGAAACACCATCACCATCGTTACTGTTTGCCAGTTAAATTTTAAATTTTTGTGCCGCAAATTTTAATATTAGTTAACTGAAAATTTTGCAGATTATTTTTGTAGTTATTTTTAATTGTTTGTTCAATTTACCAACAAGATCACAGTTATTTATGTTCATCTGTTTAGTTAATAAGAAAAGGTAAGTTGAAAGCCTTGATGAGACCAAGTAAAAGTAGAGAAAGTATTAAACATGTTTAAGGTTAACTGTTTTTTCATCAACTGTTAATAGCGTGACCCACCAGTGTTATTATTCTTGATTATTACCATTATTTCTATTATTATTATGTGATTGAAATTTCCTTTCCATTTATGAAATATAAAAGGCAAGTCTTAAAATGGTAAACGTAAATATGAATCGACATTTAATCGCCAAGGAAGGATTAAACATTGAATGATTGACAGTTTCTTATCCCAAGTCCAATGTGTTGTTTTGTATTACTATTCAGAAGAAACCTTCACTTTCATTTTTCTCATTTTTCTCTTTCTCTATTTACTTTTCAGTTCATCATCACCATCCTCATCAGTATCATCAACAACATCAAAACTCAGCATCTTCGCAGTTTCCCATTATTGAGAGTTGATGGCAAAAAGGAGAGGAGAAGGAGAATCAAAGATGTCCAGAGATTATAGCTAAATACAGTTTGATTGTAAAATATTAACAGCAACATGGAGAGACAATCATCGATTGATTCCTAATAACATGTAAACGCCTCTTAAATGTAATACAATTTAATCCTTTATTTATATATTATTAGGTATCAAGTAACCTGGGATGACAACAATCATATCAACATATCAACAAGACAGACCAATTGCTCAACAATTAAATCCCAAAGCAACTGGATTCAACTTTTAATTTCAAGAAGACGAACAAGAAATAGTATTGAAAAGTGAAAAGGGTTTACTCAGACAGAAAGGTTAACCTTACGTTTCACAAGACAACCATTAACAATGGCTATAACTGTAATTGTAAAGGCGAGTGAACAAGGTAAATTTATAACAATCAACACGTAATATTGTTAGTTCATCTCATACGCCCTTTAGGTAAAAAAAGGTAAATACATTTCAAATTAAATCTAAATGGTGAAGGCAAAAGATTGACCCAAATTCAACTGTCATCATGAGCATTGTCCAGTCAAGGTTTTTACATTGATCAAACCTGCCTCCAACAAAAAATATATATCATCGACAATATTGTCAGCCTTTTTCCAGACAATAAAACATTAATAATACAACATCAACAAAACGATTGAACAATAAGGTGAAATAATCAAAGCTTACTTCATAATCCAAGCCTACTGACCTGTGGTTACCCACTAATAAAATGAACGGAAAAAGGTGAACAAAAATGCGAATCCATTCCAACCTTGCATTGATATTGAAATACTAATATCAATTTTCAGGCTCATTAGCAAATTATTTGATGCTCATTATGAATAATAACAATACAAAATGCTGCAAGTCGTAATAAACAAAATTTTCAGTTTCCGTTTTAAGGAATCAATTGATAAAATTAGTAAATAAACTGAAAATTATTGCATCTTTATTATTATGTGAACAATGGAAGCTGAGTAATTTTTTTGCAGGAAAAATATTCAATTGGAATCATATTTCAGAATGTTAATTTACCTTTATTTACAGCTCAAGAATTTAGGTCAAACATGAAAAGGTTTCAACGAAAACTTTCTTTTTTTTCATTCTTCGATCCAATAATACAATTGATGAAAGTTTTATTTACCTGTCAACTACGAGCCGTTTAGATGCTGTCAACAATAGTTAAGGTCAACACTGACCACAAACAATGTAAATCAATGGACCCAATAATAAGTGATCAAACAAGGAGGCTTGCAACAGCACAGCCTTAAAGGTACTAACCACTAGACTACCAGAGATTAAACATTTTACATAACATCAAGTTGTGTGAATGAAGCAAAGTTGCAATAGACATTTGAAGAAATATAGTTTTTTCATGTGAAATGATCTCATTGAAAAAATAGACCAATGCTGAATGTTATTTTTACAAATTGAAATCATGAAGCATATCCATTTTTGTTGCTCACTTGCTTTAAGAGAAGCAAAAAGTTGAGCTGAATGAGAAAAGGTTATAATTCTTGTATCATGTAGGTTAAAATTGGTAAAGGTAAAGGTAAAGAAGGAGAGAAAAAAGATGAAAAACAAAAATGAATTATCATGAATAAGATTTAATAACCCGGAAAGCCGCAAATCTTAAGAAACGTCTTTCTATTGTCATCATCATTTCAATCCCAATAACATGACAATTTCGACTGTGTCCCAACAAATAATGATGATAATAAAAACCGTGTGGTTCCTCGAAAAAAAATGTACACAAAATAATTTCTTCTCCTTCGTCTTCTTTGTTAACCAATTATATATTTCTTTCTCTTTTCTTACTTTTCTTGCAAGATATTTTATGGACATTTTTATGACTTTTATTTCAATGTGTACATCAGATAATAGTTGATATTATACAGGTAAGAAAAAAAACGATGTTTAGGTGTGTTGTTACCTTTCTTTTTTACTTGAAACTGGGACTTGATGGGAAAATGGCAATAACCATAATAATAATAACAATAATAGTAATGGTTATGCAATTATTATGATAGCCAGTGATGCGAATAATGATTCAAATGTGAATATAAATTTTGTCCATTTTTGGGTGAAAATGTGTCTATTTGATCAGTGAAGACCTTTGAGTATTAAATGAAACATTGAAGACAAATTTGCTTCACAGAGACTCGTCTTCATTTGCTCATCATCAAGACCAACATCCTTTACCATTATTTACCTGAAATGTCCATTTGATTAATAATCTTGATGAGAAATAATTTAGTCAATGGTTTAACCATCCAATTCAATAAGTCTACTTGATTGGTGAAAGATGGTTAACAGATTCACACAGGCAAGATAAAGATGTTTGAATTGAGAGTAAATATTGAAATGCTACTATTTAAACAAACGTAAAGGCCATTTCCTTTTTATGTGACCTTTTTGTGTTCATTAAACACTCGCAATCCTGAAATGGTTAACGGTAAATGTTTACCGTTTACTGAATAGTCAAGATACTTCATCTTTATGAGCCTCTTTTAGGTGAAGATGCGTTTTGATGCCTTAACGGTCATTATTTTGATGACTAAACTTGGTGTTAATAAACATTACAAAAGGAAATGAGAAGCGTCTTGACTCGATCTTGATTTTCGAGCCTTAAAACCTTAGATAAACATTTTCTTAAACCTTGTGAGATGAAAATGTGTTTCAATGAAGGGCTTAATTGCAACGACTTTTCAGATGCACTTGAATGTAAAACGAGTGTGAAGCTGCCCTTTGATTAGGGGTCAATACAATTATGCATCTTGTTAACCCCTTAACTTTGAAAACATGAACCTCTTTTGGGGAAGCTTATTGCTGCTTTATCATAATAATGCTCAGATTAACGGAGAGAAATGTGAATATTAATCAAAATGATTGTGCGAACGCGCAACATTAACATATTTCAATCAATCTCTAATAATAACATCCTTTGTGTCTTGTATCATGCTAATAATAGGAGAAGGGTAAAACTGACCTTCAGTACAAGTAAAAGTGAAACATGGTAAAGGTAAGGAAAAGGTTATTCTTGTATTACATGTTGTTTGAGGTTTTTTTTGCTTACTTTTCATTTCTAATAATACTTTTCACTTGCAAAGGGATTTCAATGTTGTCCCATTGAATAACATCAACAAACCCAGTAAGCTTGTAATCTGCTCAAAAAAAGGAAACAATTTTTCAAAAATTTAATCGTTTTCAACATTTAACCTTTCTACCTTCTTGGCTTATTGTGGGCCAATATTTTTGGGAGTGCCAAAGGTTAATGGGCAATGACAATGTTCATCAAGAAACAAGTTTCCCTCTTTAACTGTTTACTTCACTTTTCACTGTTAATCGCCAGTCAACTCATAGTAGAGTTCAAGTTTTCAATGCTTAATCAAAGTTAATTTTAGCTTCAACAATCATTAGAATCGAAATAATTTTTAATCGAAATTCGGTGTTGGTTCGAACTCGGTCGATTTGGAAACTAATGAATCTCACAGTTTATCTGATTTCTATATCTCGATGTCTCGAGTTTTCAAAGTTCTGTTCAAATCTTTGTGTGTTGACATTTCCATTGAAGTTTGTTTCCAATTGTATCGTAAAGTTATTTTTGCGATTTTCTCGATTTGCTTTTGGCCTTTAACGGTTAAATGAAATGCAATTTGAGTTATTTGATTAACACAATTGAGTTGTTAGAAAATGCTGTTAACACGTTTTTTCATTTTTTGTAACATAAATCTGATTCTTGAAATAAAATCTTGTCAGGTAACATTTAATTGTCCAAGCGAAAAAAAGTTGTAAAACTGTTTTTTTCTCTGTGGTTTCATTATGAAGATGGCGAATGAAATATGTGTGAAATATCATCAAATTATATCGCTTTTCAACAGCAAATGTATATTTTACCGGTAAACTGTAACGCGAGTTGAAGAGTGAAAAGGGTTGAAAGGTAAAAAGAAGTAAAGAAAAAGTTGTTTTACAATTGCAACAAACAGTTGTCATATTTGATTGTATCAAATCTCTCACCTTTCATCTTCTCCATCATCCTCATCATTTTACCCTTTCTGCTCATTTACAATCGTACATTTAAACAGCGAAAATAAATGTTTTTTTTTGTTGCGGTAACTTTTTTTCATGTAAACCATTGTAAAGTGCAATACCAACAACTACACTTCATTATGAAACCTGTTCAGGTTATTAAATGAACAATGAATGCACAAAAGGCTCAATTTGTAATTTGATTTCACTTTCAATGTTTGCTTTTCTTAAATGATCGTCATTTTTCATTCGATTAAACCCAAAAATCGAGTTTCCCATGAAAATTAAACTCCCAAACTTGAGCATT